TATTATATGATTTCCTTAGGCATTAGCTATTGCCTCTTCTCTATTGTATTTGAACTGTGGTATCAATTGGTTCACTTTGCAAAGCACTGATGCACAAGAAATGGGCACATAATGTTTCCCGATCTTGTGACATGCACTGCCTGGATTTTTCAGCCAAGAATTTTTCACTGGCATTCACCCTGTTTGTTTTGTACATTTTTTTACGTGCTATACCGCGGGGATACCATGCATCCTTCGATTGATTAATTTCTCATAAGTGAATGTCCACCTGCAGTTCTGGAAACTTTGGATATTTGCTTGCTCTTGGGATGTTTGCCAGTGAAATTCATTCTGCTAGACTTTTACAGGGCTATTCATTAAAGGCATATGGACAAGGCAGACGTGAACAATCTAGGACAGCATAGCTGAACTGGAAAGTGAGTTGATTTGGAGAATTTTTTCAAATTGGCTATTTTGGCCTAGATTGTTCACTTCTCCTGCCTTCTCCAAACTCTTCATCCTTTAGTGAATAGACCTGTCAGAATTTTTTATTGGTTCAATCTACTCTACGATATGCCTGAATATTGACAAGAAGGAGAGGGGTGTTGATACTACCACTACCCCTGCCTCTATGGTAGTAATGTTAATTATTCACCAGCATACCTGCTTTCATTATGTCACTTAGGTAATAGAAATGTATGCTCACACTTGTTGGGGTTGTGTACAGCTGGGTGGGCTAAGGAACACTGGTTAGTGTTGCTTGTTATTGTTGAGCTTTTCCTTATTCCTTATGTTGTTTATTATCCTTAGACTTGCAGGGTTATTCACTAAAGGGTGAGGAGTTTGGAGAAGGCAGGAGAAGTGAACAATTTAGGACAAAATAGCTCACTTTCCAGTTTAGCTATGTTGTCCTAGATTGTTCACTTCCCCCACCTTCTCCAAACTCTTCACCCTTTAGTGAATAACCCATTAGTGTTTTTCTGACACTAGCACTACCACTGAAGATATGTCTACTCCTAAGCTGTTGGCTTGGAAAGTTAGGGGTCTCTATAACAGTTAAGTGCTCAACCATTGTGCAATATTTAAAAAGACAGAGGGCTGGTGGCCTTGTGCTTTTTGGAGACCCACATGACTCTAGCACCTATTTTTTTTACCTTCCTCTGGATCAACTGCAGGTAACTATAGGCATAGTGTTTTGTTTATCGATGTCTTCAATGTATTTATTTACATTTGATGGCATTTTAACCTAATTATGCAACTATGTAATTTTGTAGCTGCCCCAGGCTGGGTGCATCTCATCATTCTACCCATGCATCTTCCTCTCTGGGTGTCACCTTCCTTCTCTTCCTTTTTCCAAAATGTACACAGTCTTTATATATATATATTTTTTTTTTAACCACAGTACTAAACTGAGCATTGAACCTCCATCACCTTGGTACCTGTAAACCCCCCTTATTTGCCACTACTAGATTTGCTAAACTTCTGTTTACTATTGCAATGTTAAATGCTTGGGGAGATTTGATATTTGATCCCTGATAAGAGAATGTTTTTCGGCTTCACCTCCACCTACAGCACCATGTCATGCAATTATATAATATGATAATACATTATATTAATAGGACCACTCCTACTTGTCTTCATGGAAGCTGGGTACTTTCCTCTCATCACCATTTGACAGTATGGGAGACTTCCGAAAGTCATGCTTGCATGACGATGTCTAGACTAATCAATAACAGGAGTTTGCAGAGGCTAATTAAACAGGAGTTTGCAGAGGCTAAGTTAAAGGCTTAGAAAGCATGCCTTTTTAAGCACCGAACACTCCGCAGACAATGCACAATCCATTCAACTTCTCTCCCAAGTTGCGAGCCACGTGCCAAAAATAAGCTTTTCTTTTCTCTCCAGTGAATCTTTGAACACAAGGAGGATGCAGGAAGCTTCTGGCATATCCTACCAATCACAGACTCAGACCTCCAGTGGTTGCTTCACTGCTTTACCCAATAGGGAAAGAGTTAACATAACAGGTGACTGCCACTTTTAAACATGTTTTCTCCCACCTTTACCCTTTTAAAACAACTACTTCACTAGATACAACTGTGTAGCTGGAAACTATTGATCTCCTCTCTTAACTTTTTGTGGAACAAATCAAACTCCTAGAAGCCCCATTAAAAGCCCTAGAAATTGAAAAAAAACATCTCCTTTTTGCTAAACTACCTGGTGCAAATGGGCTTTCCTTGGAGTTGTATGCCAATGTTGCAGATGTTTTAGTTCCTGGAGCTATATGATGATTTAATCTATCCCCTTCTATGAAAATGTTTTTAATATTTCTTATCTCGAAACCTAATAAAGACCCAAAACCTCCAGAATTATATTGACCTATTCTCTTTACTGCAAACTAACATAAAAATTCTTGCCAAAGTGCTTTCTATACATTTGAGCCAGTTGATCACTAGCCTCATTCACCCCAATCAAACAGGATTTTGTCACTACTAATAAACACTACTTCAAACACTAGGCTTCTTTTTTTGCACCTGCAAACAACTTATATTTAGGTAGAAACTAGTGTAATTGTCAACCTTTGATTCCGTTGAATAGTTGTCCCTTTGATATTTCCTGTGCAGATTTGACCTTGGCCCACATTTTTTCAAATTGCTGCAATTGCTCTACATTCAACTTACGCCCAAGCTTGCTGTTAATGGCTTTACATCTGGTCTGTTTCCCTTCTCTAGAAGCACAACACAGGAGTGCCCTTTATCCCGCCTACTCTATATGCTGGCAGTAGAACTTCCTGGCAGGGAGAATTAGGGCAGATCCTGGTATTAAAGGTCTTCCAATTGGGGCCTTTAAATACAAAATTGGTCTATATGCAGATGACATACTCCTATAATTAGTGGATCGAAGCTGTACAAACAGCTTTCTTAGTTATTACCGAGTACGGACAATACTCCAGCCTCTAGTAAACTGGACTAAGTACTACATCCTCCCCCTTGACAGCTCCCCCCCTACATAGGAACAATCCATTCTTCCTATGGTCAGGGCAATCACCACTACATACCTCGGCATTCAAGTGTGAAATGTTTCAGCTGAATTTGCTAATCTAAATATTGAACCTCGGATTTCCCTTATCAAGAATAAAACGCAAACATGGACTAAACTTCCCTTAGGAGTAATGGCAAGGTAAGCCTTGTCAAGACGATTCTTCTACCAAATATTTTATACATACTATTTATAAACCTCTTATGTTTTTTTAAATGATTTATTCTATCCTTAAGCGCAAACCTAACTAGAAAGTCATTCAACAACATTTAGACAATGGGGGCTAGCATTTCCTGACCTGCATTTATAAAATATAGCTTCTCAACTCTCTCACTTCACCATTGGATGGTTCTGAATCTACCAGATTCTTGCATCATCTTAGCATACCAAGGGCCAAAAAATTTCCAGATCCCTTGTATACAATATCTGAAGGCTTCAGGGGTCAGAATCCAAAGACTCCCCAAGACTTACCATGGGTTAATGTGGATGTACATCATCATTGGTTACTATGGCTTAATGTTTATTGTACTTCATCATTGCATTTTTCTATGCATTTATTAAATATTTCTAAATATGGTACAACTTTTGATTTAATTTTGTATGCCATGTTGTAATATTTTTAAACTCCTTTGTATGCATATTGGCCTGATATATTTTACTCCTTTGCATGCACATTTGCCTGGTATATTTAAGACATCATTTATGCTCTCTTATTTACAAATTGGAACCTATGTTAAAAATCTTGTTTTTTTCTGTAGAAACTGGGCTTGGCCCTACTACATTCTAGTCCTTGAGCTTCCTTGTTGCTCCTTTTATGTGATCAGCAGTTTCTTGACCAATAGGGAGACTCAGAAGGTAAAAAGTAGAGGGGCCAGTTTAGACAGTTTTGAGAAAAAGTCAAAATCTTCATATATAAAATCTGATAGCTATATGTCAGGATACACTGCTGTTGAGATTTCCTTTCACTTGAAAGTGAACAGAAAGTGTGAGGGATTCCCCTTCTTGATGATTGTCATTGGGATAAGTGTCTTCATTGAAAGATTTTGTTATCACAGTGTGTGTGTGTGTGTGTATAT